GTCATTTATCCAAAATCATTGTTGAGGGGGTTATTTGGCCAAATTTCTCGTAGAATCTTTAGGAAGTTATCTATTTCAGCAATGCAACTTTGTCTCCATCCGTCCCAAGCGTGCAGTAACATTTTCAGTCAGTGCCATGACGTCCCCAGTATAGAGGTAAATTTTTTGTTCGTCACGATGACTTAATTTTCAAAAACCTGATTCATTTCGGTCAGATTCTGCCTTGTTTCCTCTGCCCGCGTCGCCAAAATTGATAGCATCATTTGACAACGGGTCACCCATGAAATCCTCAAGCATGCCAACTCGATCTTTCAGATTTTGGCTTGCAGCCATCTCACAGTTTTCCTTGTAACTTGCAAAAACGTACTTGGTTCTTTTAAACATATAAGTGATTTTTTAACTTAGAAATAATTTTTACTTATAAGTATATTGTACATATAAGTATATATGTAATATTTTACTTATAAGTAAATTGTTTTAGTGATTTTTAACATATACATAATTTTTTTAGTTATAAGTCAACTTTTTTAGATTTTTTATTTTTATAAGTGAACTTTTATGGTAAAAGTGGTATTTTACTCATAAAAAATTTATTATTTTTTTATAAGTTATTTTAAAATTTATAAGATACTTTTTAAATCTAAGTTAATTTTTAGTTATAATTGTATTTTTTAACTAAATGAACTTTTCAGGTACAAGTAGTATTTTTTACTTGTAAACAAGCTTATAAGTTTTTATTTTTTTAATTTATAAGTATTGTTGTTATTAAACGTAATATTTTATACTTATAAACAAAGTTTTTTGACATATTAGTAATTTTTTTCTAACAAATAATTTTTTACTTGTAATTAATTTTTTACTTATAATCAATTTTTGTACAAATAAATAAGTTTTTTAATAAGTTATTTATTTTTAATTATAAGTAATTTTTTTACTTATAAGTGACCTTTTTAGGTATAAGTAGTATTTTTTTAACTTATAAGCAATTTTTTATACATATACATGAATTTTTCTCTTATAAGTGATTTGTGCTGTGAATAAATTTTGTAGAGATGAGTAATTTATTTTAATTATAAATTTTTTTTTAGTAATAGGTAGTAACCTTTAATTTTTTACCCTTTTACTTATCACTTCAATTACAAGTAACAAATAATAAATTTTAACCCCGCGTCATAGGATGTCTTAATTTAATGAGAACTGGACATGGGGGATAACACTAATTGAATAACAAAAATTCGAGTATTGTCAACACTAAACATCGTATTAAATTATTTTTGTCATATATAATGCAGTTTAAAAAACATGTCGTAGTGGTTTCCATCTCTATCCAACACAAATTCACACGCACCAAAGATGAAATGTTTTTGAGATCTAAATGTTATATTTGTATTCCTTCAGTTTTTTTCTAAATTATTTTTTATTGTTATCTATGGCTACATAATACATCGGCAAAAATTTCAATCAATTGATTTTCCCGTCCCTATTTGTCCCTTTTCTAGTGGATTTCCAATATTGAATTGCATGATCAGCTGATAGGATGTAAGGATATAATTGTATCCCGCGTCATTCACATAAGGCTAGCACTGTAGGTTTGTAAGCACTCTGGGCTCTCTCTTTCCAGGTCAATTTTAAATGTGAGTTCTATAGAGTTGAAGGTAAGAAGATAGTTGTTGTGTCATAAAGCATTGTTTATGCTATGCAATAATGGATTTGGAAGATCTATGGAATCATTTTCGATGCTTGAAGTGTAAGAAAATTCAACAACAAATTGAGCTTTGAAAACTTACCTCCACTCGTGATTGTTCAAATATTTTCGCGAAATAATGGTTTGATCGTAACAACTTCTTCCATCAAAGAAGTTGAAGTGAAGATTAAACTCGATTGATGGTGATTGCTTTTATCTAATAATTATGCGTATCCTTTAGATTTGACAAGTAGTTATCCTATTACGCGCTTAAATTTAGCTTAATAATGAACATATGTGTGACGTATGAGTCGGGGTAAAATATCTTTCAAGAAGTCAAGAACCTCTAGCTTCCAACTTTCGATTGCGCCCAATTGCACCTGATAAGATAAAATGTAGTAGAATACTCTCATTTTTGAAGCATAGCAATCTTTCACACTCTATATGTGTTGCGTTTTTTCTATCGCAAGTATATGATATCGTAACAAGTAATACAATGGACATTTGGGTAGGGATTATCGTTCTCACGGGAATTATACTTTAAAATTTAATTAGATTTTTCTAACTCCTATTTGACGAAAGAAAACAAAGAATTATGTGGAGTCGTGAGTTTTTAATTTAAACAATTGAAATTACGTAAAAAGCACACAAAGATTGATTAAGAATTCAAATAATAGATGGAATTAGGAACGAACAATTTTACCTATTGATCACCTTTAAGTCTTAATTCAAGATTCAAGAGCCTAATATAGTGTTCAATCGAATTTTCTATGGTATTCAATTTATCCCTTTCGATTTCTCATTGACTCTATCTAACTAATTCAATCACATATCTCTACGTGAATTTACCTTAGTTAAATGAGATGTTGGTTCTAAATTAGCGATCAACTAATTTAATGCACTAAACTCATAGCAAAATTAACACATGTATGATAAAATCACAAGAATCTTGAATAGAAGATATAAAAGATCTCGAATGGATTACATTGTTCGCTATAATATAAAATTAGCTACTCATAATAAATTAAGAAGAAAAAAAGAAGTTGTTATTGAGTATATCATCGTTATTGAGTATATCATCGCTATAATATAAAATTAGCTTACATCAAGATGTACTTCCTCTTCCAATCAAAGCTTCAAAATGTTAATTTCTTGATGTTTTCCTTCCTTGAATTGCGTTTTTCAATCTCTCGTTGTATTCTCTTTCTCTCAACGTGTAGCCCTCTCAAAAGTGCCAAGTAACATCATTTTATACTCCTCTCCACGGTTGTATGAATATAGAGTTTCTTGTGGGCTCAAAAGTTGGCCCAAAAAAATAGTCTCGAAGTCTCCAGGAGGCGTCACATCCAAATACCCAACGGCGCCATAGCTCTGGTCCTTCAGCTTTCGTGGCACTGCGACACCACACCTCTAAAGTCTTTTGCATTGGTGCCACTCTGCTTTCCTCGGTCTTCTGATTTGACTATTTTTCCCTTTTTGTTACCATGCCCATGGCCTTAATTTTCTTTCCCTAATTTGCGTCGTCTCACCTCTACTATAAACACAATACTAATAAATACATTAAAAACGTTCACTGTTCGTAATATTTAGCTAATAATCAAGTTAAAAAAGAGTAAAACTCGTGAGTAAAACACATTCATCTATATGCAAACCTAGAAACAAATATGAGTTAATGATCTAAACTGCCTTCATTAACTAAGATTGTTCGAAGTCGGATAAGATTGTTTGGAGTTGGATAATCAATTCAAATTCTTACACGGATGATTAAATTAAAAAATGAAATAAAATAGCAAAATATCTAAAAACTAACATACATCTCTTGTGAATGGAGGCCAAATTGGAACTTGGAAGAAATTGATGGTATCCCTAACAACGTGGAATTAAATGGTGTAATATTAAGCCACTGTTTGACAACTACTAAAATAAATTCTTTTTTTTTTTTCTATCTCAAACTTATTTTCAACCATACAATCAGTTTCACAATAAAATATTCTATAAGTAAACCCAAAATTTTTTCCCACTTTTTAACTACACACTAAAAAAAAAAAAATTACTATTCCAAAATTTATTTTCCCCCAAAAAATGCATTTTAGTGGTTATCAAACATGGGGCTAGGATACTAATTACACAAAACAAAGTCCTATAAAGATATAGTTTTCATTTCTAAGGTGGGGATTTTTATTTTTCACATCGATCTATTTGTTATTTTGTTACAATTATATACGATCCTTGTGTTTTGATGGGTAATAAGTAAAGGAGTAGCATCGAGGAAGGAGTGCATACCCGGTTAGCCCTTGCTCCTCTTTGATAGGAGCGGAAAATTCTCCCGCGCTTACTAGTACAAAGTTAACCGATGCTTATTCCTTAGATACTGAAACTCACTAGTTACGAGGATGTCCACATCTTCTGGGAGATGTCGAAGAAACATGATAAACAACTTATCGGAGGTGGCAAGGGACCCTTTTGGGATACTTTACTTCACTGGGCAAAGTGTGCTCCATTCCTTTGCCGCACGGGTTCTTGCGCACATGCGATGTAGTTCTTTGAAGTTATGAGCATCATATGCTGTGTGAAAAAATCAATCAGATGTTAAAGTCCAAATTAAAGAACTTGGTTGAAATTTTAGTCCTTTGAAATCGACCGTGTACAAGTTTTGTCTACTCATTTACTAAATATTTAAGTGTTAAAACTTTTGCATAAAAATAAATTTGCAATGCACGTAAAGAACGTGTTCAAAGTTTATCATATTAATTGTGATTTGGTATCCATTTTCCTTTGCAAAGAAGTGTCCATCTCTTATAGCTATTGCTTCCACATCCTCCACCAAGAAGTGTCCTTGAGATCTCTTCATGTAAGCCGCAACCACTGAACTTCGTGTGTCCCAAGAGACTCCCTTGTATTTATAAACTTGTTCTCTCTCTTCTAACCACCAAAGAGATATTAAGGCTCGTTTGGTCCCCATTAAAATTTTTATTCATTTTTTCCTTTCTTTTTATTAACTACACATCCTCCAATAATGTAATATTACATGTAAATCTAATTTTTATTTCTTTTATAATCACATATTCTTCAAAAAATACTATTCCAAAAATTATAATCTAAAATAATGAGAGTGTCTACATGTCCTCGTCCTTCCTGCCCTCATTCTTCGCCATTTATCATTTCCTCCTTCAGTTCAGTGGCGGGTCCAGCACATGCTATCTAGAACTCGGCGACAGTGCATGCTGGATCCGTCAGAACAAATTTTTTTTGTTGAGAATACATAATATTTTTAGCTTATATATATAATAATTCATTTTGTTTTCAACTATATCTTATAGTTCAATTAGTTACAGCCTCCACATCCAAATTAGAAGTCATGGGTTCGAAATCTCTTCCAAATCAATTTATTGTGCAATTTTTCTAGTTCTACAATTTTTACCAAAACAAATGCTGGGGCGGGGACACCAACTTGTGACCCTCCTTAAGATTATTTAAAACTTGACCATCATGGCATTAATTGAATGGTGACACTAAATGTTACAAAATAATATATGTTCAGTTCTATCGGTTTTAATGCAATTGAAAAGATTCAAACACTCTTCCTTTGAATTATACAAAACTTGGCCACTATGTCATTTGATAAATATTGTTGATATATATAACAGAATTATACATGTTTAATTTTAGCAAAATATTTGTTATATTTAATTTTCAATATTTTATTGCATCTGACAGTCAACGATCATCTGTGCTCATTTAAAATCCTGGATTTGCCACTGCTTCAGTTCCCACTCTCCCAAAGCAGCGAACACTCCATATAGATGGTCAACCCCTCTTGACTTCTCCCCATGATGAATCTTGTTATGTTCTTCCCAAATCACCCTTTGTTGCCACATCTATTTCTCTCTTATAAAATCTTTTTTTTTTAATTAAGCACAAAAGCTGGTTGTTTTATTAATAACAAAGATGAAATACAGTACCAAAAAAAAAAAAAAAACTTCCTTTTAAGATATGGGAGTACAATGTACATAATATACCGAGACTGTAGTATATTTGTCTTCTGGTCACATCCAACATTCTATTTTGAAAGAAATTTTGTAAATTTATAATTGTATCCAAAATTTGGGAAATCGATTGCTTCATCTCGATCTCTACGAAAGTATAATTGACATATTTTGTACTTGAAAAGAAAAATGGAGAATCCACCCTTACCTCACTTGCTCTTCTAAGCAAGATCAAGCCTAGAAAAGTTTTATTTCTTCAAGTGAACAATCCATAAGAGAGGCAAGAGTCTCCTACTCTTACCAACACGGTCCACCCCAAAGCTATGATCATCCCTTCCTTAAATTTTAGATCACTAGCCCAAGAACCATACAAGTTAGTTTCAACTAGAAAAAAACTAATTTTGAGAAAAACTTGTGAATAAGATCTTGTAGTACCGATGTTGTGTATGAGTTTAGTGTGCCTTGTATGTTCCAAATAAGGGAACTCATCGGGATTTGTAGCACTGAATGATTTGGAAATTGTTCTCGTACTCCCATTGACATGTAACGATGGAAATCAACATATAACCTATGAAGTGATTGGCTATTATTAGATAATCATACTATAGTTTTTATGTGCTTATACGTATTGAAACAAGACTCTGAGCGCATATTTGATAAATAATATGGTTGTACTAGATGAATTTTTTAGTTTTTTACTTAATTTTATACTGTCTGAAAAATAAGTTGAAGACTTAAAACCTAAAAGTTAAGACCCAAAACTACACTAATTGAATGTTTAGGGGTTCAGACCTAAATTTCCCTCCAAATTTTAAAAAATTTCAGGTTAAACCCTGAGTTAATGGCAATCTTGAACCTGCAAGGCTCAAATTTCACCACACTGTAAGCATTCAATTCGCTTCATTCATTCCACAGTGCTGTATTCTGCAACAAAAAAAAAAAAAAAAAAAACAAAACGAAAAAAAGGTGCAATAACTTCACTCACCACATTTACTGCTACACTAACCCCAACTTCACAGACCACAGCGATGGAGAAGAATGAAACCCACATGACCTTCTTGATGACTCACTACCTCAAAATATAATTTTTTATTCATAATAAAAAATAGCTAATATTGTTATATTATTTAATTATTCTATGATATGTATATTTTTTAGGACATGGGCTTGCAGGCATTCTTCTCCATATCTTCCCTGATTTTCTGGTCAACTTTTGGTGTTCAAAATCTAAGGTGGGTGACCACAGGCTGCTCCATTTGCAGAAATTTCCCAATGGGTTGAGTTTTTATTTAAAGAGTTGCATTATTGTTCTGGATTTTGTATATTTTTTCTGGCTTGTTAAGATTTTCAAGAAAATACGAAAAAAGAAAGAGTGTTTTTAAGAAAAATAAACAATAGTTTGTTGGCAGAACACTTTTGCTGAGATTATGAAGTATTTAGGGGTCTTGGGTTTGTTCTTGATTACTGGAATAGCAGCTTTCATGTATCTTGGTTATTGCAGCCAAGAGGAGAACTCATTAAATCCTGGTAAACTTTTACTGTTTTTTTTTTCTCTCTCTGTATCTCTTTCTAAAGAAGACATTTATGTAGTTATCTATTTTATACATCTAGCTAATTTTTCGAATGGTAGTGATGTGAAGGATGTGATTCTTGACAGGGTAATGACTTGAATTTGATGCATGGAATGTTGAATCATGTACGAGGCTTATGTTAATGATATAGAAAGACAGGCGTTATATTCTCCGTGTTCGTGATATTTTCATGACTATGAGTCTCGTAATAATTAGATCGTGTAAACTACTACAAAGTCGTCCCTTTTATTTTTTTTTGTACCAAGTTCTTCTCTTTGAAACTCACAAAGTGATAAGTAGTACAAGTTCTCTAGTACCTTTTCAGTACTTCTTTCGCAACTATATTCAGTGTATGGTTTCTCACTGATTCAAAAATTAACTCTTGCTTGTTCTGTAGTAGGATTACGTGTCTTTAGGCGAGCCCCTTTTTCTTTTCGTTTAGCGTCCAGTGATATGTGGATCGTATAAATTTTCTAGCCCTGCATCCATTTTTCTTCCTTGAATAATTGCTAACTTAACTAGAGGTTGGAGAGGGTGGGTGAGGAATTTATTCAGGAAATTGATGTTGATGGTTGGACCCTAACTATTGAACCAGGCCTTTAGGATTCTTCCTGTGTTACACGTTGACAAAGGTTTGTATCTTTATGTTATTGTTGAAGACAAACTCTGTAATAACGTGAGTTTTTATATTAAGTGATTCAACATTATATTGGAGCTTATAAAGCTGCTAGGTTGAAGTTTAACTACCCTCCACTTATGGAAAAATCTGTATTTGTTAGGCCTTTGATAAAATATAATCCGACCTGCATGTGTGGGGGATGATTTGTGGACAAAATTTAAATAGATAAATTTGTCTCATCTAATGGTTTAAGCCTTTAGATGAGTTGGTTCAACATATATGGATTATATGTCTACTGATATTCTTGTAAATTTGGTTGAGTTTTGACATTGTTGCTTCAGCAGTGAACCCTTTACATTGGACATTCAATTCTGCCCCCGACACCCTTTGATCGAAAGGAAAAAATGAATTGATGTATTTAATGGATCCGATGGGACTGACAGGACTTGAAAACTGCAGATTTTGCCTTGACTGGGTGGTGATCTGACTAATTGAATTACGATACCAGGGAAATAAAGGATTTAACACAAAATCTGTTCTCTAAGCATCTTCATATTGTCGGCCTACTAAAATGTTTAGTGGATTCTAGCAGGAACCTCATTTCAAGTTATTTTTCACTGTTGTAATTAAATTCAAATTCAAGGTTGGGTAAAAATCTAATTTCTAGGTCCCGAACTGGCTGCTAACATAACGGCTTTGATTTATGTTTATTAGATGAACTTCGGCAGGATACTTGAATTTGTGTATGTGCATGCGTGTTTGACCTGATATTTTCATGTACTGAGAAAATGGTGTATGTTTTATTATAACTTGTTTCAAGTCTCTTCAATTGCTTGTATTTTACTACTAGGAAAGTTCCTTCTTTGAATTTCAAATGTTGTGTGAATATGAAGAATCACTAACTTGGAACTGTAACCTTTGCAAAATAGAGTTTCCTGGCATTACACTACATTAGTAACCTTTGAATTGATGATTGCAGGCATGGTTTCTGTAAGTCGTGGGAATGTTGAGATATTGTCCGTGAAAAGTAGGAAACTTAAGGTACATGTGGTTTCAACTTAATGGTTTAACTACTTAGCTCAATATAAGCGTGTAGCACATCTAGTTACAATTAGACGTAAGATTTCACAATAGCCTCAAATTTCTCATGTTCATATCCTCTTTAATTCAGAGAGAGATTGCGAGGTATTGTTGACAATATAAACGTAATAAGGTTCTGATTGTTTGATCACCTCATCTGGAAATTCAAGTGGTTACACGTGAGAGCAATTTATTTATTCATATTCCATCTTCAACATGAACACGCACTTGCAAATCAGATTTAGTTTCTCATCCATGGCACAACAAGTCGAATTTTCATACTGGCTTGTAGTGAGACTTGAATACAAGATCTTTCCCTGTTTTGATGCCATTTCAAACCCACTCCATAAAACTTAAGCTGTCAGAGGCAAGAAATTTATTTGTTTACATTTTATAGTCGCGGTTGAGCATTCTCTTCTCTTTTACCAATTCTGTCTTAACAAAGAAGACTGACTTCTGATCAACATGGGAAGGCTTTTGAGGCTAAACTTCGAAAGATAGAAGGTATTGTTTATGCATAAATGTGATGTGGTTCTGTTTTTCCTTCATTCACTTCTACCTAAGATTTCCCAATGATCTTGAATTTGTCATGTTCTTGTCCTCTTCAATTAAGAGAGACACTGCAAGGTATTGGTCAAGACAAGAACATAACCTGGTTCTTTTTTCTCCTTACAATCTGCAGGAGAATAGCAATACTCCACACACTGATCAAGACGATGGGGGCAATGCAAGTTTGGAAGATTACCATCCGATTGATCCAGTTCCAAGTTCAAAGGCTTCTGTAAGACCTGGACCTATCCAGCATGGCACTCCTCTGATGCCATATATCCCATGGTCTGCTCCTCCTCCTGGGCACAAAGAGGACGGTGCACTCCCGTAGCCACTTCTTTAACACTTTCTTCTCGACCACTCTCTTAATAAGATATGTTAACTACTTAGTTTGAAGACAATGTTATAACTATCTATTATATTATGCCATATGTTTATAACACTGCAGTATTGGCATATCTATGAATGTAGAATGGTTTTGAATTTCTTATGGTTTCCCTTTTCGTTGTAACGCGTGAATTAATGAACCACTAGTATTTTGTTTTGAACTTCTAAATATTTCACTTTTTATATTAAAATGCCAGCGTCATTGCATCTCTCTCAATGCACATTCTCTACTGTATTTTATTGAGTAATCTCTCGAAGCAGAGAATTTGACTATCTCATAAGCGTAACCTATCATAAGCTTGGTCCATCAAGAATACTCTAGTTCCCTTTAAGAAGTATTGAAGAATTAATAAAGGAAAGTGTTGGGAAGGTAGGTTATAAGCAAGTGATTGTAATAAGATTTTTCAATAAATTTGGGGTTGACTGCTGAACCACTATGTTCAGTTCATAACAAGATTTTAGAGGAACTAAAACGACTATATCCTACCATGTTGGTTTTGCTCTACTTTTTCTGTTCTTCTGACTAGTTCTAAAGTGATGGTGAAACTGAATTATGGAGCATTTTGCAAATTTAGAATAGTTCAAGTGTTCTTGAACTTCCATTACACATCTTCTCCTACCTCTATGTATCAAAAGATGTAATACAGTGACTCTAATCTCTATTAATATTAGGCTAGCACCATCAGCAGAGAAATTCAACAATGAAACCTTCTGTAAAAAAACTTAGATCAGTATCTATATCTTGCTTTTCCTGAGGAAGATTGATTAGAATTAACAGCTGAGTTGTCTTTTCCTTTCATGGCTCGTTGAGGCAGAACGGAAAACAAAGATTTACGAACGTAAATCTGAATAACCAAATTTGGAATCCACCAAAGAAACAAAATTTTATAATAATTAATAATGATCAGAAAAACGTTCAAAAGCCTTTAAAT